AGTCATCACAGGCTTAAACTGTAGGTTTACAGGAAATCTGCATGTGCGTGTGTTTTGAACATATGAAACTGGGATTATGACTACTTCAAAAGACTTTACTGCATGCCATATAGGCAGGTGTTGTAAAAAACGTTTGCTTTGCTTTTTCATTAGTATACATCTCTTTTTCTAAGAACCTTGTTTATCCAGCCTGTGCTGAATTCTAATTTTTCAACCAAATTATAATAATTTTTTTTAATATTAGTAGATCTCCTAGTATCAGTTAATATTCTTGTAATTAAAATAATTACATCAAATCTTGCAGATGTGTGGCATATTGTTTTTTCTCTGATCCTCCTAACATTTTACCATTTGAAGGGACTGGTATTGGCTATAAAAGTATAGTCAAATTTAAAGTTTTTGCACAACCTATGCATCAAGTTTTTGTTATAAAATATTGTTAAACTAGTTTATCAGAATAAAAATGAGTTACTGGGCACAAGTATGGCTTTCATGATGATAGTTTCCAGATTTGAAAAAAAGTTACTGCCCGCTAAAATCCTCAGTTCCTTTGCCTTGATAGCCCAACCTTATCAAAACATTGCCAACAGGAGTGATTAGCAAAATATTGATACAGAAAAGAGGGCCTATTCCCAAATACATCCTCCTCAATCCTGTTAGCTTACTATGGTCATGGTATTTCAAACATGGTGTATATGCCACAAGTTTTCCATTTCCCTGACTAATTACTTTGTAATAGTGTTTATATGTTGAGGAAACGGTTGGGTTGAAATATAACACAATGACTTGCCAGTAGATAGTTTTATTACAGTTTTTATTCAGTGTAATGTAGGGCTAATAAGAGCTCCGCTTTTAGGCTTGGCTAAATCTATATATTAATAATAATATCCAAAGACATCTTCACATATTTAAGGCGCAAAAAAGTTCAAAGTCCGGCTAAACAGTTCAAGGAATTGTGCAATCTGTGTCCGAATCACTTTCGATGAAATGGAATCATGTTTATTTTTAATTTCGGCATTGGATTACTCGAGCAAAGTGTTAAGCTTGGTTGGCTAGTAATTTTTTATTTCCTTGGCAATTCCCTCCTCTAAACACCCCTTTTTCCAAACTGACAACAAAAAATCAGTGCTTTTTACAGTGTTTTCATTGTTTGAGCTGTTTTTCAGCTGCGTTGGCAAAAGAAAACCTATTTAAAATGCCAGCCATTGTTTCAAATTTTCAAATTTTGTTGCGATATCCGAGGCTCGCATTTGATTGGCTATCTGTGAGTTTCTTTGATTATTTACCAATCAGAATGTCTGATTTGTTACTTTCTTTGCACTTAATTAACCCTCTTTTGCGGTGAATCAACTCTCTTCTGCACTGAATTTCCTGAAAACTACATTTATCTTAACCAAACAGAACTAAGTAATTTTTCCATGTACAATATTAGGCCACAAAAATCACCGAAACGCTGTGTCTAGTGAGATAAAGTTAAAATCAGCGAGATTAGCTGGAAAAAAGTAAAAATCCTCTTTGATACGACACAATTTAAGAGAGTGTAATTTAGTAGCGAATAGGTCAATTCAGCTAGTTTGTCCAGTTTTTTTTGTGTTTCACTGTTTTCGCTTGTTTGATCGCTTTAACCATTTGACCCAATTTAGCTTGTTTCTGGATTTTGTCCATATGGGCCAATAGGGATTTCTGCATTTTGTGCCGTTTGCATTTTTTTCAGTTAATATCAAATAATAATTTACTTGCTAGTTTGACTATTTAGTCACTTGAGATCATTAAGCTGGTTATACTTTTTGTCCGATAAGACCCTAACCTTAAGCTAAGTTTGACCATCTTAACCACTTGACAGTTTAACCATTGAGGCTAAATTTTGCAGTTTGTGCAGTTGAACCGATTAAGATCGTTATGCTTTTTGTTTAGTTGAGCCATATTAGCTAGTCTGACCATTTGAACTACTTCAACCAATTAACAAAGATTTTGCAACCTGTAAACTTTAACTGTCTGGGCTGGTTTGACTATTTAACCACTCGAATCAATTAAAATAATTTGACCATTTAAACTACTTCTAGCAATTCAGCTAGATTCTGCAGTTAACCATTTCAGCTGGATTGTGCAGTTTGTGCAGTTACGCCAAGTAAGCTGATTATGCATTTTGTCCAGTTGAACTATATAGGCTACTTTCACCATGTGAACTACCTCGACTAACTAAAATAACTTTGCGATTTGTGTAGTTTATTTCTGTCCGCTTGTTTGACTATTTAAGCAGTTAAAGCATTTGGGCAAGCTTGTGAAGTTTGTGCAGTTGAAATGATTAAGTTATTTACGCATTTTCTCGTGTTTAACCATTTAAAAAAAGTCACGCATTTTGTCATTTAAGCTAGTTTGACCATTTCTAAGGTAAAACCAACTAAACTGTTTTTAACAATTCGAACCAATTCCGCTAGATTGTGCAGTTTGTGCAGTTGAATTTATCAAGTTGGTTGTGCATTTTGTCCAGTTGAACCATTTTAGCTGGTTCGACCGCGTGTTGAACTATTGCAACTATTGTGCATATAATTGTCTTTGCCGGTTGGACTATTTAACTGGTTGGACTATTTAAGATACTTTGATCATTTTGACTTCTTAAACAAATTGAGCTACAATTTGTCGTTTGTGCACTTCAACAATTGAAGGTAGTTCGACCATTGCACTATTTCCAGCAGTTTAGCTCTCTTTCCTAGTTTCACTATCCACGCAGTTGAACCATTTACGCTAGTTATCCATTTTGTCCACATTAATTATTGAACCAAGTATGGCAATTCTAACAACTTTAACCAATTAAGATAAACTGTGCAATTTGTGCTGTTTAACTGTCTTAGCTACCCTGACTATTTAACAAGATCAACCAATTAAGCTGAAGTTGATCCTATCAAGCAAGTTACGCATTTTGTCTGGTTTAACCTAGCTTGAGCATTTGAACTACATCGACACTTTGAGGTAGATAGCGCAGTATGTGCACTTTTACTGTTTCCACTAGTTTGATTATTTAACCATTATAACCAGTTAAACTAGATTGAGAAGTTTGTGCAGTTGAACCTATTAAGCTAGTTAGGCATTTTGTCCTCTTCAACAACTGAAGCTAGTTTGAACATTTGAGCTAGTTTAACCAGTTAAGATATATTGTGCAATTAGTAATTACTACAACATGATACTTAATAAATAACTCATCACAGGTAAACTACTTCTGGTACTGTTGCTCAAAAGCGTCAACCAATGAACACATGTCTATGATTATACTATTTACAGTTGTCAGTGAGTCCAAATAACTCTCTTTATCGAATGACAGTCCTCTTAAAAAGGACCTTAATTCAATGAGTGTCATTACATAGGTAGTAAAAGCAAATTCACATAATCTTCTTTTTAAAATCTTTTATTTCTCAGTATGTTTTTAATCTCAAACCATTACTAGATATCATACCAAGTACCATGGGATTCGTTGTTACCCTTCCAGCTATAGTTCTACCTACTATTGAACAAGACGATCACAAATTGGATAACAGATTTAGTTTCTCGAACCTTTTATAGGATTTTTAAAGGACCCGAAGCTTCTTATGATAGTATTTGTATGATGTAATTTCATTTATTGCGTTTTTGTTTGGTGGTTTAACCAACCATATCTTAAGTTAAATTCTTATGTTCCATCCACATCAAACGTTGTGCCACTCTCGCTAAGAGCGGTCCTCTCGACTTCCCGTCCAAAAAAAGTTTTCCTTAATTTTTTGCCCATGAAAAGGGTTTAGGACACATATTTCAAAAATAGTTTGGTTGATCTCTAATTCTCTTTTTTCGCGTCGCCATAAGCCAAAAATGATTTTTGGCTAGACCCCTGTGTAGACGGCGATCGAAAGTATAATTTTCATAGATTTTTTCGAGGGTGCTGCGACTGCAATAATGTAGCTCACAGAATTCTCTCTTGCTACAAGTTGCAAGATATATTCAGTCAGTTCACAGACAAAATATGAAAACTTCACTTGAAATCCTATTCATACCAGCGTGATCAGAAGAGAACCTTCCCTTCGACCTTAATTTGCATATTAAAAATTCAACAGTTTATAAGAAATAATTCTCGAAATGCAGGTGTAAATCGGGCTAAAAAAGCATATCAGTGAATAGTTTATACATCAATGAGCTCACTTCTTGTCTCAAACCCGCGGGTATCTCGCTAGATTTTATCCACCAACATCTTGAAAACAACGCAAATCCATGTGTTTACTCAATTACGCACATGTCAAGGTCATTTGCATAATTATGAAAATTGACCAAAATATCTATTTGACCGTTCAAACTTCGTTTATTTATCTTCTACGTGAATTGTTTTCGGTTTTCATAACAACTAGATGGAAAATTAATCCCAAGTTGTCTTAAAACGTTGCATAAACGAGATAAGTCGTAACGCTAGCAGGACCAACAAAGTAAACAAAAGCGATCGAAAGACGTTTCCCTTGAATCAGGTCATGAACCACGCACAGAGTGGAGAAGATCAAAGTTAAAGAACACAACTTGGCACTCTGGTCATTGCATATATACTGCGTAGCTTAAAGGTACATGGAAACAATTGAAATACATGTACGTTTCGGTATTATTTACAAAACAATACGTGTACACTCTGCAAGAATTCTTGCAGTTTCGACTAAGGTTTGCATACGAAATGCGACCAACAGGCTCTAATTCTGAAAATTTGCCGCCGTTATTAAATATTTCATGCTCCCAAGGTTGTTTGCGACAGACTTAACGTTTTCCTGCGACCATCAAAACCAGCTAGGCAAATATTGCGTTACGTGACTATGCTAATTAGTTGACCTTTCATGCCATGCAACCGTTGGTAACAAAAACAAAGATACAAATTACACTTCTGATAACGAATTTTAGTATCGAAAGTCATGAAATGAAATGAAGCACAAAGTTAGGAATAGCCTTCCTAAATTTCCTGGAAACATGTGCATTCTGTCACCATGTCATTTAGCTTCTTAAGTAAGGTGGCCTTTAAAAGCAATTTCAAAAAAAGCACACATTTCCCTTAACGTGGTGATTTTAAACTTCCTTAACGTGTCGTCGTTAACATGATCACAAATATTGTGTCCATCAAATAATATTGGATGAGTAAGTCCAATTTCGGAAATAACATCTGCTACCTCCTTTGTCCTTACTCTGTGTTGTAGGTAAGCGCTTTCTTCTTCGATGAGACTTTCCTCGTCGTCTTCGTCGTTTGCATCCCGCTCTTGATCTTTTGCGGCTCTTCTTCGTTTCGTAGCAGAAAGCCTCGAAAAGTAGCTTTGAACCTGGTTCTTCGTTAGCCACTCACTTCTGATGAATTTTCTCGCACCATCTGCCTCTCTGGCCTTTCTCATTTCTGCTGCAACTTGCGCGGGATCGGCTTTTCTGCCTGTTCTTTCACCGGTTTGAAACCTGCTTGAAAGATACCCTTTCCACTGCCTCGCGTTTTCTGAAGAGCCCAGCCCATCTTGAACACTTCACTTTTAACTTTGCCCGTTACTTCGAGTGTTGCTATCTTTGATTCAAGCGTTAGGGAGGAAAATTTCATGGCCCAGTCACGTCTAAGGCTGTCGTAAAGGCTCTCGGAAGCTTCTATCTCGCTGTGCTTCCCGAGGTGCACATGATCTTGGAGTTCTTCTGAAGAAGTGAACTCAGAGCAGCATCCTTGTTCTGGGCAGTGAAACAGCATGTCTTTATTACCGCTGGAAATCTGGCTGAGATTGCGATTCTGCTTTATGGCTCGTGGTGCTATGGCAAAGAAACCATGATTCCCAACTTACCTGTGGATGATGAGTCGTCCTTAGCTGAATCGCCGACCGCGAGGCAAAACCTCTCCAACCCCTTGGACATCATTTTCCAGGTCATTAACGACTGTACCAACAAAGGAAGTCCCAAGCTGAAAGACAGCAGAGGGTATCCGGTCACTTCGTTCCATGACCACTTCGTTCCATGACCACTTCGTTCCAAACCACTTCGTTCCATCCTTTGGTCACTTCGTTCCACCAAGTAGTCACTTCGTTCCAAAGAATAGTCACTTCGTTCCAAGTGTAAACTAAGCGTGTAAACTTCTAATCTTACAAAACTAGTAAACGGTATACGCCGTCTGTTGTGACGGCCATTTTGAAACTTGTGAAGTACCTGCCGTGTGCGTGGAGTCTGGGACTAACGGAAACAACTATACGTATACACGTTGATCATAGCAACCAGACCAAGGTAAACCTTGATTTCATTATTTCAACATCACTTTACTTTTTTATCAGACTTGAGTAAAGATGAACCTGCTTATTATTACAATTACTTACATAAACAATGAAAATGCGAACGCGCGAAAGACTGAGTTCTAAAACAATTCAAGATGGCGGAGTTACTCGTTCGTTATGCAAATGCAAAGCAAACTTAACATTCATTTACTTCGAATTCTCTAAAAAAATCTTAGATTAGTAGTTTACACGCTTAGTTTACACTTGGAACGAAGTGACTATTCTTTGGAACGAAGTGACCATTTGGTGGAACGAAGTGACCAAAGGATGGAACGAAGTGGTTTGGAACGAAGTGGTCATGGAACGAAGTGGCCGTAATTCGCCCAAGATGTGGATTTTCAGGTTCTTCGAAGGTGCCTTTTTGTATGCAGTTATCAGCGTGGTCAAGTCATCCGAGCAAAATTCATTTACTGCCGGGATCTTAAAGGCTTGCAATAACTCTTCGCTGTCTCGTGGAGCGATTACATTGCAAACAGCGCGACATACCTCTTCCACGTGATCTAAACATAGGGCTTTTTCATTTGCCGTTGCTTCTTCCCATTCCTTTGAAAGCCTAACGGAAACATGTTTAACTTTTTGTTCTGTGAGTGAAGCAATCCTTGTCATAACCTCATTGTAGGCCTTTAACACGAACACATCAACTTCTTTTTCATCTGATGAGTCATCGTTTGACGAAACCTCAGCCATTTCATGCCACCGCCCAGGAGTCCAAGTGGAATCCCAATTGTGTATTTCGACGCCTACAGCTGGAGAAAAAAACATCGCCGATTTTGCCTCCTCTTTGGCTGCCCTGAAAAGTCAATTCCTTCGGCTAGAGGCCGTTTTTCCTCCCTCGATGTTCTTAGCCAGAGCCACTCATTCTTTAACCGGCTGTTATGTAATTTTCTGCAGCTGCTACAGATGGCTAAAATGTGCATAGAAAAGTTATTCTTATAAATTTTACCTAATTTGACCTATTGCGCGAAAAAAGTATCGTTATGGTCATTGCCATTCAAGAGATTATAAACTGTTATATTCTCTGGATGCGAACTTTATCGGTGCAGCTATCATCATTGTTTAATCTTTTTTAAAACGGCTGCCTTGTCTGTTTAAGTTGTATATTGTTATGCCATTAAAACGCCAAAACGAAACTAAGGCAATTTTTTTTACTAGTTCTCGTGGTGATTGGAAGTAATATTCAGGAATTGGCTTTTACTCCCTCTCTTTTTATAAATTCCTTTTTATTCCTTGCAATTTTTATTTGGACATCCTTTTCCCTGGTTTTGTTCTCGCTTCAGTTTTCCTCTCTAATTACCTATAACAAGTGCAAATAACGGAACATTTTATCTCTTTGTTCCAAAGGTTAGTAGTGTTATTTGAATTGCAAGACTTAATTATATTTTCCTAAAAAAAGGGCTTCAAATTTCAGCCCAAAATTTAACCTTTGAAATTTTTAGGGCCTATCCGGATCCACATCAACAAAAAAATTGTTTATCTCGAAACATTTTCTATCTTCAACAACACCTTCTAAAAGTATGGATGGTTTTCCGCGACTTGACAAATATTGGCTGAAGCAGGAAAATCTCCAAGTACACCGCCGACAAAATTTCCCACGGGGGAAAACTGGATTAAAGCGACTAAATAAACAAAGCCGTGTTGAACTTGTCAATCATTTGTTACAAAAGGTACCGCCAGAGTAGACAGTAGTAGTCTTTTCTTGTGAAACTCGTGGATTTTTAAAACTTTGAAAAGACTTGAGATGAATCCCGGAAATTCAAGTTTGAATCCATTGGCAAATTATGCCGGCCAGTCATATGAGCGGATCAAGCGCTGACGAAATTTGACAGCTTTGAAATTTTTAAGCCGATGCAAAAACAGAGACATTTTTCATGGCAAAAAGTTGTTCTATGATTTTATGGAGACGATTTTATTTCAGTCTGCAAGGGCAGATAGGCCCTTACGAATAAATTATTAGAAAGATACTAGCCTTCTCAAAATCGAGAAATTGAATAATATTACTCACGTGATCCGACTGCAACTATAATTCCGTAAACTTCGAAAACATCTCTAGCCAATCTGGCGTTGAACACTCGGTCTCCTTTCACTGCCTCACATTTTCATTTGTGCTCTGGATGCTGGCAAGTACTTTTACCACATTGCCAATGTTTTCCCAAAGCATTCCAATGTTTACAACAAACAAACATCTGTTTTAATTTTCCCATTTCGAGGCCAAAATGACCGGAATGAAACAAAATCAACTCGTACTCTAAGATTTTGCTCGATAGGTGGTAGTACTTTAAATGACTTGATACGTCGTCCTGGCATTCCAGGAGAGATATCGGGGCTGAAACTCCGCTAAAATGCCCACAACCACTACAATCTTTGCTTTCCAAGAAACAAGTAGACATTTTTTGGGGGATTAATATCTCAAAACATATGAATAACTGAAGTAACTCTCCTCTCCGCCAAGCAAACACGTATGGCACGCTTAGCTTAAGCGAGGGGGCTGGACCTTGGCCCCCCTCATGAATTTTGAAGTGGGGTGGGGACGGGGAGGGGGTGCAATATTGCAAGCTCAAATACCATCCCCATTTCCTTTACTTCAGTCTATTCTAATTCGTTATATTAACTACTTTTTAGGTTCGATTTTCAAACCCGCAAAACGAGTCATATATCAAGTGAACTATTTAGCATAATCGCGTCACGCAATACACCAATCCGGGTTTGCCGAACTGGTTTGGATGGTCGCAGGAAAAGTTAGAGTCGTCCCTAAAGAACGTTGTGGGTTAATGATGGCAGCAAATTTTCAGAAAGGAACGCCTGATGATTGCATTCCGTGTGCTAAACCTTGGTCGAAACTGCAAGAATTCTTGCAGAGTGTACACGTATTGTTTTGTAAATAACATCGAAACGTACGTGTATTTCAATTGTTTCGATGTACCTTTAAGCTACGCAGTATATATGCAATGACCAGAGTGCCAAGTTGTGTTCCTTAACTTTGATCTTCTCCACTCTCTGCGTGGTTCATGACCTGATTCAAGGGAAACGTCTTTCGATCGCTTTTGTTTACTTTGTTGGTCCTGCTAGCGTTACGACTTCTCTCGTTTATGCAACGTTTTAAGACAACTTGGGATTAATTTTCCATCTAGTTGTTATGAAAACCTAAAAAAATTTACGTAGAAGATAAACAAACGAAGTTTGAACGGTCAAAGAGATATTTTGGTCAATTTTCATAATTATGCAAATGACCTTGACATGTGCGTAATTGAGTAAACACATGGATTTGCGTTGTTTTCAAGATGTTGGTGGATAAAATCTAGCGAGATACCCGCGGGTTTGAGACAAGAAGTGAGCTCATTGATGTATAAACTATTCACTGATATGCTTTTTTGGCCCGATTTACACCTGCTTTACATCACTTTTTTTCTGCATGTTGTCTCACAAAATACCTTATTAACAGCATCATTATATGAAGTGGGTGTATGCAAGTTCTTAATAGGGTTGTTATTCATGTTTACATTACCTTGGAAGGTCTCAGAGCCACTCAGTACGCTGTTAGCAATGGTATCTACATAATTCTTTTATTACTAGCATCTGTTGAACCTGATGGATCCCCAAGATTAACAACGGTTTTACTGTTCATATGCCAATTACCTGTCATTATCTGAGTTCCATCCGATAATAGAACAGTTAAAAGGCCTGCAGAATCACCACTACCAGATGGCCCCTGTGGCCCTCTTTCACCTTTATCACCTTTAGGTCCCTGTGCTCCAGTGTCCCCTTTATAACTTTTTCGACCTCTAACACCAGTGTCATCTTTATCACCCTTGGGACCTTGAGGACCAGTGTCTCCTTTGTCACCTTTTGGACCCTGAGGACTGACATCTCCTTTTGGTCCTTGTGCTGTAGTGTCTCCTTTGTCACCTTTAGGACCCTGAGACCCAGCGCCAGCACTACCAGGTGGCCCTTGTGCACCAGTATCACCCTTAGGGCATTGTGCACCAGTATCTCCTTTGTCACCCTTGTCTCCCTTAGTCCCCTGTGCATCAGTATCTCCTTTGTCTCTTTTTTGACCAGTATCACCCTTATCATCTCTTGGTCCTGGTTGCCCTGCT